ATTGTAATCACATAGCATCAAGCAATTGCACCAACTGCTGCTCCAGAGTCAAAAGAGGAGGAGACTACTACTCTGCCATGAAGATGAATGAAAAGGAAAGAGAAAAAAAAGAAAAATGAGAAAAAAAAACTAAAAGGAAAAAGATATTTAAACAATGAAAAAAGCTAAATCTAAATAAAATCCTAAAAGGAAAGAACAAAAGAAAGGAAATGGAAAAAACTAAATTTAAATGATGCAAAAACTAAATTTAAACTAAAATCCCAAATCCAAGCACTTTTCAGGAACAATAAAAGGTGCCCCTCATTTCCACCAATGTGAGTATATGAAATATGGAAAGGGAATACAAAAAATATGTATATCAATTAGCCCAGAAACCCTAGTTTAGATACAAGAGCAAGTGGTCCAAATTGAAACCAATTCAATAGTTACTAAAATCTTATTACACTAATATTAGTATATGGCATTATAGCTGTACACTTGCACTTTATAGTATGAATTGTTTAATAAAAGAAATAGATTACTATATTTAAAAGTTTAAAGAATTTAATATTAATGAATCAGACTAGATTTTTAAGATGGAAAAGTATAATTATTAAAATATTAACTTCTTCACAGCAAAAAAATATTCATAAAAATTAAATAATAAAAATATTTATGTATTTTTTATTTTTTAATCATAGAAATACCCCTAAAACACTGTTAAAAGTAATATATATTCAACAAAATACTATAAAATTAATAGTTATTTTCTTTAAAATATAGCAAAATAAAACTTCTTTTATATTAATATCTTTTTTATTTAAAGAATGTTTCAATATCGTGTTTTTGTTTTCTATCTTATAGCTGATTGTGCATATAACAAAAAAAAAACTTGAAGAGTTTAAAAAGATAGATTTTTCATATAGTAAAGATTATTAATATCCTTTTGAGAATATTTATTTAAATTCAGGTTTATAATAATTAAATAAAACTTATATAATTGATTTATTATTGCCTTTTTTATACTATTTAGATTTGTCACTTGTATTTACAAATTTACAAATTATTTTTCACTAGAGTGATATAATATAGTAGTAATTGTTTTTATTACATTCTGATAATATATGTTTTATATTTCTATTATTGAAACTTAATTATATTTGTAGAATACACTTTATATTAGAATATTTTAATAATTATAATTCATTTGTTCAATAGTGTTTCCACAACTCAAGGATCTTCCACTTTGTTCCGCTTGAAATTGACCTCGGAATGAAAGTAGTCTAGAAGTAAAATAGTTTTTTTTAATATCTCAGGTGATTGTGATTTATTATTTTACAAATATTCAAATAGTTGGAAATGCTCACTACTATTGAGGGTAAACAGTATATCATCATCATCATAGATGATGATAAGGATGTCTTCTATAGATGGTTGCAGGGGCAATAAGAGCTCGGGCTCTTGAACATTACCTGATTCAGGCTCTCGGCAAGCTTTTCACTGAGTACAACGGACTGGCACCAAGAACTTGCAAGAAAGCTAGTCACATTCCTTTGATCCCAATCCATTCACAGACTAATATTTTTCAGGTAATCAACACTGGAAAGACTCCTTTTGACACCATGAACTTAGCTTGCACGCTCGATGAGCGAGCAGCGTCGTGGCAGGAACAAAACGAGCTTGCAGCTCTCGTCCGATCTTGCAGAGACTTTTCACAGGGACTAGAGCTCCACTCCCGGATCCGCCACAGCAAGCATCGTGATAACACTTTTCTTGCCAATCTCCTCGTCCAAATGTATGGGACGTGTGGGAGATTGTCCGAAGCTCGCCTAGTTTTCGATCAGATCAAGCAGCCCAATCAATTCTCTCGCGACATCCTCCTCTCGGCATACGCGCAGAATGGCGACATCCAGTCCGCTCGCCAGATCTTCGATTCGATGCAAGGAAAGAGCGTGATTTCGTGGAACTCGATGATCACGGCGTATGCCCAGCACGGCCAAACCGCCGACGCGAGAAAGCTCTTCGATTCTATGCCCATCAAGAATGTGGTGTCCTGGACGACGATGATCACTGGATTGGGGAAGAGCGGCGCGTTGCGAGAGGCGCGAGAGGTCTTCCAATCGATGCCTCGGAAGAATGCCGTGACATGGAACGCGATGATCCAGGCCTATGCCCAAAACGGGTATTGGGATCAAGCCAAAGAGATTTTCGATGCCATGCCGGAGAAGAATTCCATTGCCGCCTGGAATTTCATGCTCCAGCAAACGCTTCAAACCGGTAATCCAGAAGAAGCGAGGGCTCTGTTCTTGCATAGCATGAAATTCCGGTCTCTCGCCACGTGGACGGTGATGATCGATGGATATACAAGGAATGGGCATCTGACGGCCGCGATGGATCTCTTCTGGCACGGGATTCCGGAATGGAATGTCGTCTCTTGGAGCGCGGTTGTTCATGCTCTAGCACAAGCAGGGTTTGTGGCCGACGCGCGGAGGGTCTTCGACTTGGTGATGGCGGAGCACAATGCCATAGCATGGACGATTTTGATCCAGGCGTATGCTCAAGCCGGCAATCTGGCACTTGCGAGGGAGCTCTTCGACTTAATGCCGGCGAGGGACACAGCAGCATGGAATTCGATGCTCCAAGGGTACGTTCTCCATCACAGGATCGAAGAAGCAGTGGCATTCTTCCGGTATTTGATGCCCGATCACGACGAGGCCTCCTACACCATGATGATCACTGCGTATGCCCAGACCGGGCAAATCCACAAGGCCAGGGATATCTTCAGCACAATGCCAAAGCGAAGCATCGTTGCTTGGAATGCCATGCTGGGAGCTTGCTCGGAGATGGGGCTCTTGAAGGAATCGAGGGAGCTGTTTGAGAGAATGGCTCGACACAGCTTGGTTTCGTGGGGCTGCCTTCTAGCGGCGTATGCTCACAGGGGAAATCTCGAGCAAGCCAAGGAGATCTTCGACGCAGTGCCCGAGCATAATCTAGCCAGCTCCAACTCAATGCTTCAAGCTTTCATCCTCGCCTCGAGAAAGGAGGAAGCACGAGAGATGTTTGAAGGGATGATCCAGCGCGACGTTCTCTCTTGGACGATTTTACTGGGAGCTTGTGGATACTCATGGAAGTTCTTTCTGCGCATGCCGGAGCTCGATGTGGTGGCCTGGAACTCGATGCTCGTGGCACTTGCCGCGCACGGAGAATCCAGAGACGCGATTGAGCTCTTTGGAGTGATGCAAATCGAAGGAACGATCCCGGATGAAGTAAGCTTCATGGGAGCGCTAGCAGCTTGCTCGCATTTGGGCTTGCTCGCCCAGGGATGGAGATACTTCGTCTCGATTACCGAGAGCTACACGATGCTTCCGACGAGCAGGCACTATTGCTTCATGATAGACATGCTGGGGAAATCGGGACGAGCAGAAGAAGCTCACGAACTTCTCGAGACGATGCCGTTTGTCCCGGATGCCGTTGCTTGGGGATGCTTGCTCCAGCACCTGAGATCAAGATCTCACCACCATCTAGCAGTTAGCGCTGCTCGACGTGTTCTTGGGCTCTCTTCATCAGCTGATCGCTACGTCTCGATCTATAACTTGGTTCAGTCTAGTCGATCATCTTGTCACGACTACGCGACGTAGGTGCTGGAGAGGAGAGCATACGGTGACGAGATGGTGCTGTCGAGCTGCGAGCAGCGCCTGTTGCTCGTTGTGGATCTTCTTGGAGCCGACAGGGAGCGAGAAACGCGATCTGGGACTTTAAGGCATGCTGGAGATGAGATCCTCGACCTTGGCTAGCTAACCGCAGTAGTGCGCTCCCAGTGCTTGGACTTGATGATCGTCGACCATGTTTCGAAAATAATTCCACTGGATAGAATGCGCGAGAAGAACCTCGTCGCTCTGGACGTGATCCTCCAGGGCTCGTTCACGACGATGATGTTTGATCCCGACCATTCAGCGTTTGTGAGCGTTCTCTTGCGGCCAGCTCGGGCTGTTCGCTCGCGGCTCCAAGATCTCCGGAAGCAACGTAGGCTGAGATCATCAAGAGATCATCAAACTGTGCTTGCTCATACCAGAGTGGAAGGACGATACGGCGGATTGAGCTTAGATGGATCATTGTCGCCATTGGCCATTTCCCAGCTTGGCATTCGTTGGCAGCGTCCTCTAGATTCCCCGCGTTGATCCAGCCGTCGATGAACGCGTTCCACGAGATGACGTTGCGTTCCGGAATAGCATCGAACAGCGCTCGTTGCCTCGGCCATGTGGCGTATCCAGCGATCATGGCCGTCCATGACACCACCACATTCCATTCCGCCGACGGTCATGATCGTCCAAGAGATCTCGTTTCGCTCCAGCATGGTGTAGACATGAAACATACAATTCCCACAATGTCGTATTCTTTCATAATTCCTGGAGATGCCCTCTCCGCGGATCATTCTAGTAGGCATCGAGTCAAAGAATAGCTTTGCTGTCAGAAAATGCCCATATTGGGCATATGCCGTAAGGAGTCCTTGAAACTCCATTGTTGTCTGGCATTGCTCTCGCCTTTTTAATATCTCTCACCTGATTGTATTCCTCTTCAAATTGCCAAATTCGCGAGATTTATGTTCCAATTCGGCGGAGTAGCGAGCAGCTATCTCTTTTCCCGGTTTTGCTGACTCTTCCTCGATGTTTCGCTGCGCAACGACCAACCATCATTTCACTGAATTGTCCAGTGAAATAATCCATAAAACCTAGGTCGTGGACGCACACTTGTACGAATGAGGAGGGCAATGGATTGAATCCAATGAGTAGATCGGAGCTCTTCGTTGCAGTTGCAACGATCAAGACGCCGCTGCCAGAGATGAACAAGACCGAAGCAGCCACTTGATGGCAAGCGACAGTCAATGGCGCCGCAGAATCCTTAGCGATGACAACAAGAGCGGCCTTAGATTTCCTTCTTCGTTTTTTGGTTTCCAGCTCCAAGAAGCGACGGCATTCGAGCACAAATTTGGAGGGTGATTTTCAACATCAAGATCATGATTCCACCGAGTTGAAAACTCGTCACGTAGGTCTCACTCTCCACGCTTTCTTCTCTTGGTTGATGATTCGTTTCTATAGATCCAAGAAAAGTTGTCGTCGAGAGGGCAAATCTTGGAGAGGTTAGTCCTGGGTTCTTTCGAGCGATGTAGCATAAATGCTAGCTATGCTGATCATCACTTGATAGAGGACGAGGTGCTTCCATTTCCAGGAGAATCTTTAGGGTCATCGGTTGGCCGTGAGTAACATAGAGAGCACCCACTCTCTCAAAGTTTTGGTTTTAAGAGCCATCCTTGAGGTGAGGTGAGGTGTCACAGGAAACTGCTTAGAGGGTTTTGACATGTGTGTATGCAGCTGAGCGATTATCCCAGCCAGTCCTAGTGCAGGTATTTGTTCCATAGATTGTTTATTGTATGAAAGGTTGCGATCTTGGTGATGCAAGCTTATTAGTTTGGCAAGTTGTTTGCATTTTTGAAGTACACATTTGGTCAAATTTTGGGCTGTCTTTGGTGTTTTTCTAGTCGTTTCAAGGTAAGGTATCGTTTCCTTTTGCCATGGAGCAGGAAGCGAATTGGTAATGCAAAGTGCCGGATAATTTTGGTCTCTAGTGATGGTCGTATCATCTGGATATTTCAGGCTAGAAGAGCGCTGCGAGTTCTCAAGGCTGTAGTCAGGTTACAAGCTCCATCTTGTTCGTAAACAAGCTGCCCTTACAATGCAAGCACTTGTTACAGTTGCTCGTACACATCGTGCCTCCGACAAAGGCCTGCCGGCCCAACAGCACCATATCAGCAAGATGTCCGTCCTTTTCATCGTGTCCCAAAGCTTTTAGGAGGGATGGGATGCCTCGGCTAGAAGCATGGAGTGCAAGTTCGAGCAAAACCAAACTGAAGTAAGCTTTGTCTCTTGTGACACAGTAAATTCTTTTGTAGAGTGGCAACAATCTTGGCTGTGAGTCGGAAACTAGCCCCTGAGAATGGAGCTGGCTGGATCAGCACCGCAAGAAGAGCAACCAGTTCTTTGAAGCGAGCTTTGACAGGTTTAGCAATGACGTGCACGAGAAGATCTACTCGGCTTTTGGTGGCGTTCCTCTCGACTGAGCATGACGGGCTCCAAGACCACGAAGAGCAACCCTTTTATCAGGAGCGCAATATAAAGAGGCCTTGTAAATGAGTTTCGGGTTCGACTGGCCACAGTGAATGTCACCCTGGTTTGATCTTTAACCAGTTCTTTGTAGAGGAATCATCTGAATCGTGGGACTTGTTCTTCTTTTCCCCTTTGGTGATTGTCTATTCTTCTTGGGCTGTTCTTCTCTCCAAGTCAGGACTGCTTCTTTTCTCCATGCGAGCGACACAACGCGGGCGCTACCTCCAGCTCTCCTTCACAATATCATCGCGCGTTTCTTCTGGTCTCGCTCCAGCGCTCCCCTCTTCTTCTTGGGCTTAATCTTCCTCGATGCACCAGCAGAAGCACATCCCTCCCGTCTTCCTCCAAATATCTCTCGCCCAGATAAGGATGAACACACCGCCTTGAGAGCTCTGGAGAATATGCTATGCCAGCATATTCGTATCACTCACTTATCCCGCGCATTTGGCCCGACGGGTTTCGGGTTTTTCGCTTACAATCTTAAGTTCGAAGATGGGAGGGCGAGAGGCGACGTGAGCCAAGATTTCTTCTTTTTCCTTTTTCTTTGAAGATGGATCAGATGGCGTGAAATTTCCTTCAGCTGCCAGAAGGCGTGACACCTCCTTTTCCTTTTTATCCAGAGAACGCTCGACTAGGAGGAGGAGCCGCCAGCAGACGTTACACTTCGGTGAGCCAAATTCAGTTTTTCTAACCTTTTCTTTTTCATTTCTCAGAGAAGGCTTGACTACGAGAGCGACTCTTCAAGGGACTCTTTCCTCTGTTTTAGATCTAGCCTCTTTGTTTTGGGGACCAAACTAGACGGTAGATTCAATGGACGAGAGGGGGGAGGCTCCAAAAGAGGCCGTCACACCACCACGGTAAGCCGAATTTCTTTCTTTCAAATCTAGCCTTGCTTTTATTTCTCAGAACCTGCGGAAAGAGACGGTCGATCCAGATTCAGCCGGGTGAGAGACGGATCACAAGGAGTCAGCCGGAAGCCATGCTACTTCGTAAGTTTGATTTTGATGATTCCCTTACTTTTTCCCTCACTCTTTTCACTCTTTTTGTAGCTGGGCTGGTGGAAGTTAAAACTACTTATCCTTACACGGTAGTGAAGCGGATGGACAGAGATTATGGAAAATATCCGGTGGAGCGTTTCTGGTACAAACGTTCTGTAAGTCAAACTCTTAAATTTTTGTGATTACTTGATTCTTTTTATCTTCGAGGGTGCTCGTCTTTACGTTCCTCGACATGAAGACATACCTGTGGAATTAAAGTTCCCAGCATACCTCTCCGATGAACAACGGGCTGCCGCACACAAGAAACACGAGGAGAAAATGAAGAATCGGAAGTATCTTTTAATGCCAGATGAGGAGCGACCATCGATGTATAGGAGACCGAGTTGGGAAGTAAGCTTTCTGTTTCTTCTTCTTAGTTGCTGAATGTATTTATTTTTTGTAGGGAGGAGACATCAGAGGCGATTCCAGAGGCAATTAACTATGATCTCATCTAGATCCGGAAGAGTTCGATGGGCCAAGTAAGGATTTTTCTATTGTATGTATTTGTTGATTTGATGCAGGCAGTTAAAAGACGGTTAGAATTTAATTTTGCATCTCAAGAAACATAATTTATCTTTTTTGCCTTCTTGTTACCGAAAAAATCTTCATACACAAATTCAATTCCCACCCAATGAATAGAATGATCAGGAATCTTGTACTGTTAGCTTGGCAAGATTTCATGTTATTTTCTTTAAAAGTTTAAGGTTTCTTGTTTACATAGAATAAAATATTTAAAAGTATTACAAACAATATTAACAAGAAAGGAAAAAATAAAAATATATACTACTGTAAAAGTTTTTTACAACTATTATTTGTTACAAAGATTAAATCCTTTAACATGTCTCGCCAGGATCAAGAGGGCGATGGAGGAGCGCGGGATCAAAAGCTCGATCCAGATCCACGACGCGGCAATCCGCGGGTACCAGCCATCCTGGAAGACAAGGAGAAAACAGCGAGAAGCTGGTTGGATTGATCGCTTTGCGGCCCAAAGAAACTTCTATAAAAAGGAAGAACATAGGAAAAAAATTAGGGTTCTTCAATGTGGGAGGCAGTGAGCCACAAGGGGCAGAGGCCATACCAGGAGGACAGGTGCCTGGCGATACCTGGAAAGGTAGGAATCTTCGCAATCTTCGACGGCCATCGCGGATCACAGGCAAGTGACTTCGCGGCCGCTTGGTTCTACCAAAGATTTCACCACCATCTCCGCTTGCAGGGGAGCGGCGATTCGATCGAAACGCTGCTCACGGGCGCGCTATCCGCCGCGATCGCGGACATCGAGGCAGAGCTCCTCAATGAATCGGAGAGGGGTGGATTCGTGGCCGGATCGACAGCGTGCATCGCAGCGATCAGTGGCGAGACCGTGGTCGTGATGAATCTGGGCGATTCTCGAGCGATAATCTGTGGCGTGGAGGCAGGAGATTGCGTACGGCTGACCCGGGATCATCAGCCGTACTGGGAGGACGAGAGGAAGAGGATCGAGGCGGCGGGTGGAGTCATCCACAGCAATGGGAGGCTGTTTGGGGAATTCGAGGTGTCCAGGGCGATTGGCGATCGGGATCTCAAGAAGTTTGGGATGAGCGCGGTGCCGGAGTTCACGGTCTATCATCTCCAGAGGCAGAGGCCATCGCCACTCTATCTCTTGGTTGGATCGGATGGGGTTTTCGAAAAGTTGAGGTTCCAGGGCGTTTGCGAGACCGTTATAGAACTGCTCAGGAATGGAGAGGAAAGTGGAATTGCTTCCAGAGTGATTACTAAGGCACTCGTGGCTGGAACGAGTGATAATCTCACGCTTGTCGTCGCAAAGCTGGTGTGATTCTTCGATCGATCAACTTGGCGATGAGGAGTTATAGGAAATCGTTGGCACGAAGTTGACAGTGCTTTGGACAAAGGTTATAATGAAGGATGAAGTTCCAGGGAAAAGATCACGCTGACAGAAGTTCCAGGGAAAAGATCAGGAACAATGCCGAGTGCTTTGGACACTGTCAATATTCCAAATGTGATAATGAAGTTGCCGGAGAAAAAGATCAAAGAACAAACGTTTTCGAAAGACTGGGAATTTTTCAAACGAAAATATAAAAGAAAATGGTTTAAAGAAATAATTTGTCGAATCAAAGAATAATTCACTTTCAAGAACCCGAAGTGTTTGGTACTACGGTCAAAGAAAGATTCCAGGAGGGCGGCATTTCTTCTCTCATACAAACTTCGATTCCGCTCCCATTCGTGGGAGAAACCCTCCATCTCTTGTATGAAAGCAAACAGGCCATGGGAGTTTTGGATGGATCGGAAGTTCGTGCTTACTTCTTGTGAAGAAGGCTTAATGTTCTCAGTGGTGTTTAACTTGTTCTTGAGCATTCAAGACGAGGAGGAGGAAAAACAGCTCTTGGCTCCATTTGAGGAGTTTTTACACAGCTACGAATCAACTTTCCGGGGAGTAAGTTTTGGCGGGCAAAGATTGCGAGTCACAAGATCTTTGAGAAGCTGGACAAGTATATCAGCAGTGGGAGGCATGTGGAGAGCGATCAAGCAGATACCGTGGAGGGCTGCTAGTTCATACCATATAAATGACATTTTTTTTTCTCCAAGCCATCAATAAAGAACTGTTTGATTTGAGGTAATATTATGCATGATTATGTCAGACATTTGATATTGCATACAATTGAATTAATCTATATTAGTATGAATTTTCTCTTGTAAGAAATCTTGGATTTTTATTTCAAGAAGTTGCTGGTCAAATAATGTAGAAGTTAGCAATCCAAAATCACAACTAAATTTATTATGTAATTGGAATTTTGAGTTGATATGAAGTAAAGTAAGATCCAAGTAGTTAATATGGTTTACAGCAAAATCCTCAAATATCTTAACTTTAAATTTTTTCATAAAGATAAAGGATATTTTGGTGATGTGAGGGCCAAATGTATAGTTACGATATATACTAATATTAGCGTAGTGGGATTTTGGTAGCCGTCAAATTAGTTCAATCCGGACCATTCACTCCTATATATAAACTAGGGTTTTTGGGTTAATTAATATGCACATTTTTGTATTCTCTTTCTATATTCCATGCACTCACATTGGTGAAGGCGAGGGGCACCTTTGATTGTCCCTGAAAAGTGCTTGGATTTGGGATTTTGGTTTAGATCTAACTTTTTGCATCGTCTAGATTTAACTTTTTCCATTTCCTTCTTTTTGCTCTTTTTTTTTTAGGATTTTGGTTTAGATCTAGCTTTTTGCATTGTCTAGATCTACTATTTCCTTCTACTCTTCTTTTGCTTTTTCTTTTTCATTTATCTTCATGGCAGATTAGCAATTTCTTCCTTTGACTCTAGAGCAGCAGTTGGTACAATTGCTTGATGCTATGCACTTGCAATTGAACAACCAAACTCAGTTGATGGCGGCATTCAACGTGGTACAACTCCTGCTTTTGGTGCCAATCCTCGCGTTTGGTTGGAGTTCTTTTGCTGGTGTCCTGGGGATGATGTGTACCATTGGTTTGATCACTTCATGGTGATTGCCACATATCATTCTTGGGATGATGCTCACCGTTTGCGTGAATTTCGCACGTGTCTCAAAGGGACGGCATTGCAGTGGTACAATGGTTTGAGCGCAGCCATTCGTGGGGATTAGAGTGTTCTCCGTCTTCAAACACGCGTTCGGACATGCCGACGACTGTGATGATGCCTTCCAACAATTGTATTGTCTTTGCCAAGGGCCATCTGAGTCGGTGATGCAATTTGGCGTTCGTTTCTGAAGTCTTTTGCTTCGTGCGGAGCCAAATATGTCGGAGCGGATCAAGCTAGGAATGTTGTGGTTAGCACTTCGTCAAGATCTGGTTAGACTTGTCCATGCACTTGCTTCTACCACCCCTGACGATGCTCTTCGCTTGACACAACGTTATGAGATGTCACCTCTTCCACTTCTCGCTACATATCCTTCAGCTCCACTTCCTTTGGGTGATGGTCTTGTTCCAATAGAGGTTGACACTATTGCTGCTTGAGTCCAAGGACAAATTCGAGGACGTGGTCATGTGTGATGTTCACTGCTGGGCGTGTGATGAAGTTGGTCATACTTATCAGCGTTGTCAGCGGTTTCCGGATTGGCGACTTCCATTTCCTGGGTGGAGACCTTGACGTTAGCAATGTCTAGTTGGTGTTGCTGTAGTGGATGGTTTGGACACCGAGATACATTCGGGAAACAAGGAGTCACGCGAGTAATGGAGGGACTTTGCGCGAATAAGTCAGTGAACCCTCCATCTTTCTTTCAGGAGTATCATCAAGGGGTTCACTCAGCACTAGTTCATCCAGTGTTTACTTTCCAAGCTCGTTTTTATAACAAGAAGTCTTCTATTATTCTCTCCGTGTTGGTTGATACAGGTTTGAGTTTATCTTTTATTGCTCGACCTGTTGCCACATGTTGCCGTTTACACTTGCAGCGTGCGGCAGAACCAGTTTTCATTCTTTATGGCAATGGCCGTACATATGCATGTGCACGGGATGAGGCGGACCTGGTTGTGTGTGTGGGCAATCTCGAGCTTGAGTTGCAGTCATTGCGGATGGTGCCTAGTCAAGTTTTTGACCTCATTCTTGATATGGATTGGTTGTAACGCAATCATGCCAAGTGTGATTTTGAAGCTTCTCCTCCTTATCTCATACTTCCTTATGTTTCATTCATTCCTCTCACTTCTGTACCTCTTTGTCCCTTTACTTTTACCTTTGCTTCCATTACTTTTGTTCCCCCACTATTTCCTCCTATGTTTCCATCTTGTTTTGCTCTTTCCTTTTTTGATCCCTCTAACGATCTTTGTGTTGCAGCGATGGACCGGCTCATGAAGAAGTATTCTGATCTCTTTGAATTTAACCTATCATCTGGGGCCAAGATTGCCACACGTCATCCAATTCCAACTGGGGATGGTCGTCCAATCAAGTTTCCCGTTCAGTGTCGGTCACCCAAGGAAATCAAGATTTTACGTACAAATGTTAAGGAGATGTTGAAGAAGGGTTTATTCAGAAGTCGTGGAGTCCTTGGGCATGTGAACCTCATCATTTCTGCATTGATTATTGTCCGTTAAACGAAGTGACAATCCCAGATGTGTACCTTCTTCCTCACACTATTGATCTCTTGGATCGTCTGGGGCGAAGTTGTTGGTTCACCAAGCTAGATCTTGCTTTTGGGTACTGGCAAGTACCAATGGCTGAAGAAGATATTCCTAAGACTACTTTTTGTACACCATTTAGTTTGTACAAGTTCTTGGTAATGTTGTTTGGTTTGAACAATGCTCCAGCAACTTTCCAACGGATGATGGATGAGGTTTTTTGTGATATGTCGGAGGTGACTGTTGACTTCATTGATGATGTCTTGATCCGCTCGAAGGGGACGTGGGAGGAGCACGTTCGTGATATTTGTAAAATGTTGGATTGGCTACGCGACGTTGGTTTAAAGTTGAAGCGGTCAAAGTGCGTGTTTGGGTCCAAGGATACAACTTATCTTGGGTACCGTATTTCTCATGAGGGTTTGCAAGTTAATCCTGACAAACTTGTGGCTGTTCTAAAGTTCCCTACTCCGAAGTGTGTGAATGATGTGCAGCGCTTCTTGAGCAAGGTGCAATATCTCGGTCGTTTTGTGAATATCTTTCTGATCGCACTGCACCGTTGCAAGCGTTGTTGAAAT